CTGACCGGGACGCGAGGACAGAGCCCTCGCACCAGTTGCGCCTCAGGCTCTGCAGACGCCGGGGTGGGATCTAGTCTCACGATCGCGCTCGCTCTGGCACGCTCTGTACTCCTCCCCTCCCTCCCCACCCTTTCGCCGCACGAAATGCAGTCACAGCCGCGGGGAGAGCTCCCCCTCCCTGTGGCTCTGCTCAGTCGCTTCCAGAATGAATCGCCCCTCCCAAACTGGGCACTAAGGCAAACCCGCGCCTGCAGGGGTTTCCCCAGTTCCTTGACGCCGAGAAGCTACCCGCCATGACACGGCCGTCTCCCGGTAGCAACTTTGCAGCCTTGTTCCAAAAAAGATAGGATAGAATCTTCCTTCTTTTCTTTCTTTCTTTTTTTTTTTTAATGCAGCACGATCAATTTCCGCAGCGCGAAATCTGAGGCAAGCAGTCTCCGGCTTGCGCACGCACTCACACACTCATGCTTGCACACAAGCGCACGCACACCCCCACGCCCTCCTAGCTCTGGCGAGAATTACCTCATTTTCGCTAGCATCCCTAGCTGTCCATCAAGGATGCAGAAGCCACACCCCCTGGCTACTCCTACGGGTGTTTGGAGCTCTCACGCCCCCTGCTGGTTCCAAGCGTCGCGTGCCGGCCAAAAGCCACAACGGTTGGCACTGCTGAACTTCAAACTCCTCCAAGAACCTGTCCAAAGGGATGCGAAATTTTGGTGACTGATGGATTTACACCATCCACGTGTAGAGCAAATGTGTTTTAGGGGGCTCATTTCAACATTGCTAGAGTCAAGAAGACACAGGTTAAATGGACTTTATCCTGCAGTATTTCTGACCAAAATCATGAGGCACTAGGACGAACACAAGCCAGACCTGGTTATTTTGATTCATGAGCTGGTTATTTTAATTTAAGCTCATGGATTGAAGTCATGATTACACAATCTTGTCTGAGAACACGAATTTTGTTTCGCTGAGGCTGCAGCCATTAAAATATGAATTCATTTTGTTACAATCTAAGAGGATATGGAAAAACAAAAATAAATTATGTTAGGGAGCAAAATAATTTTTTTAAACATTCATTTTTTTTCATGATGTCCTATGATCTTTTTATATTTTTAGAAGACAGAAAGAAAATAGTACCTGGTCAGGAAAATCAGGAATTCCCAGGTAAAACAAACCTGAGGCAGTTAACAGGGCTATTAACAAATGTTGAACTGGTTATTTGAAAGAGAATGAGAAGCAGAAAGAGACTGACTCCTACTTTTCTATGCACAGGCTGATTTTGTATCCGGTCTTCTTGTATCTGTCATGCTAAATATGGCAGTGTACTATATAACAGAACTAAAATACCTGATGACACATGAGAGTATTTATATGTAGCCAGATCAATTTACAAGAGGAAGCAAATATATAGATGACTTCACATCAATTGTAGAATATATGTATTTATAGTTCATAACAACTCATTTGGAAATATTTTATATGTCAACAATAATTATGTGTATACATTTCTTGGATTTCATAAGACAATCCTAATTTCAAATATTCTATGCCACAAACTCCTAAAAAAGAATTTTTTTTTTTTTTTTTTGGTATTGGTGATTGAGACCAGGAGTGCTTAAGTACTGTACCACATTTCCAGTCCTTGTTATTTTGTTTTATTTTTTATTTTTGAGATAGGGTCTTACACACACCCACACCCTCGTAGCTCTGCCAAGTATTATCTCATCTGCACTAGCTTGTGTAGAGCCGTACTAGGTTGCTGAGGCTGGCTTTGAACTCGGTGACTATTGCCTCAGTCTCGAGGCGCTAGGATACAGGTGTGTGCCACCCTGCCTGGCAGAAATTGTATTTTAATATCGAAACATTGTCTTCCAAATTGCCTTCTATACCCATAAGTAGCATAAGAGTTGTTAACTAAATGACATGCCAATTTGTAATTTGGACATATGGTAGCTATAATAAAACCTCGCTAATTGAGACTAACTGGAATGAAGCCAATTTTGAACTGTTCAAAGGTATAATTTGATGAGACTTCAAAAAATGCTATCTTAACATAAAGTTTAAATGAAAAAGGGATTCTTTTCTTTTTCTGTGGAATGTTCATAGACAAAAAGCCCCTTTTTTTCCCAGTTACCCATTACTATGTAATAAACCACTCAGAAACCAGTGGCCAAAAACAGCAGCAAGCATTTATTTTTGCATATGAATCTGCAATTTGAGGAGAGCATCTGAGGACAGCTAGTGTCTGCTTGCACACAGCATTAGCTCAAAGCAACTGAAAGGATGGCTGGAATCTTCTGTAGATTTGCTCATATACAGTCTCACGCTCAATGCTGGATGCCATCAGGTAACTCAACAGGGCTATCAGTTCACGTCCCCACAGGTGGCCTATCCATGTTGTAGACTGGCATCTTCACAACAAAAAGGTTGGTTTCCAAAAACTATGACCCAAGATAAAGAGTTGGGAAGAAGTTTCTTTGCCTTTTAAAATTATATTTTTATTTGAAAATGATAATAGATTCACCTACAATTTTAAGAAATAAGACAGATCTCATTTACCTTCTTTCCCCTTGTTATGCAATGGTAACATCTTATAAAACTATTACTACTGATACTGACAGGGTCAAGAAACAGAATGGTTACATTGTGGCTCCTTTATTGATACAATATCATTGTTTTATACATGTGCAATATACATTTTGTACACAATGTACATTTTCATCACCACAAGGACCCTCATATTGCACTTTGATAGCCACACTCACTCTTTCCTCCCCATTCTCTCCTCTATCCCTGCTACCATGTTCTCCATATCTATGATTTTGTCATTTTAAAAAGGCTATGCGAATGGAATCATGAGCATTTGATGTTGTCAGTACATTTTATTTTCACCATTATGTTAGGTGTGTAGTGATAATTCATTGCGCTTTTAACTTTTGTTTCTTCTTAAAGGCTAACGATGTTGAATATCTGTCCATGTGATTCTTTGTCATCTGTATATATACTTTGACAAATGTCTGTTTGTGCCTTCTACTATTTTTCTTTATACTGTGGAAGTTAGAGAGCTTTCTAAAACAAAAGTATCTGATGGGGTAAGATGGTGCATGGCTGAAATCTCAGAAACTCAGGAGGCTAAGGATTGCAAATTCAGGGTCAGCCTCAGCAATTTAGCAAGACCCTTTCAAAAAAAGAAAAAGAAAGAAAGAAAGAGGAAAGAAAAGAAAGAAAGAAAGAATAAAAGAAAGAAAGGAGGGAGGGAGGGAGGGAGGGAGGGAGGGAGGACTGGGGATGTGGTTCAGTGATTAAATGCCCCTGGATTCAATCCTCAGTAAAACAACAACAAAAATCACTTGGATCTATTTCTAATTTCTAGGTTCTGTTCCATTGATCTATGGGTCTATCCCTCTACTAATAGCATACAATGTTGATTGATATACAATCCACATCTCTTTCCTTCTTTCATATCTCATTCTCATTTTTCTTACTCTTAAGGATCTTTGTGATTCTATTGTGTCCACCCAGGAATCCAAGATAACTTTTCTATCTTAAAGTCAGCTGATTAGTAAGCTAACATTTTCACAGGCTGCATGGGTTAGAGCAATGGATGCCTTTGGATGGGGTCTGCTCCCCTCTTCCTCAGGCAAGTCATGTCTGATCTCTTGTGCTGCTCATGCTCAGTGTTCTACTTCCATCTTCTAAGAAATTGGGTTTGGGCCACACCTAACATCATGACTTGGTAGATCTCATAAAATTTACCATACCGGGAGAAGCTCTGCATGTTTAGTCACTTGCTATCTCATGGTTAGGTGACCCATACCAGGACCCAGTAGTATATAGGAGGGAACATTCAGGAGGTTTATTATTCTCCACTGAAAAAGTCATTTGGCCTTGATTTGAAACCCCAGGAGTCCGCCCTGTGATTTTCCTACTTGTGCTTACTGTAAGACCCATAGAGCCTCTTTTTCCATGTCAAGTCCTTCTCATACCAAAGGGTCAGTCGGATTGTGTAGTCCAAATAGTAATTCTCTTTTCACCTTGCATGGGTCTTATGTGGAACCCTTTCCTAATTTAGGCCCCACTCAAAGTGGACGACCTACTGTGTTCACCTGTAAATAGGTGGGAGGGTATGCCCAGATGTGGAATATGCTGTCTTCAGAACCCAAAGAAATGTATCAAGCAGTGAACTTCCTCCCTTTGTGCTAACACTACCCTGCATCCTGGCAGCATTTATTTTATTATTGTTATTGTTATTGTTATTATTCCAGGCATTGAACCCGGGGTGCTTAACTACTAAACCACATCTCCAACCCCCTTTTAAAGGATTTCTTATTTTGAGACAGGGTCTTACTAAGTTGTTTAGGGACTAGCTAAGTTGCTGAGGCTGACTTTGAACTTGCAATCATCCTGCCTTAGCCTCCTGAGCCTCTGGGATTACAGAAGTGTGCCCCCCACCCCTGCCATGGCAGGCTACTATTTGTATTCTTGGTAATTCCTGTTGAGCTCTTGAACATATCATTTGCATCTAACTGCCAAGGCCTTCTGGATCCTCCTTTGT